TTTTTTTTTTTTTTTTTTTTTCCCAACATTCTTCTTCCCTATTCGCTGCTTTCTCCTCCTCCTCCTCCTCCTCCTCGTCCTCTTCTTCTCCTCCCTCCTCTTCATCATCTTCTTCCTCAACTGGCTCTTCTTCATCATCTTTTCCTCCTCCTCCTCCTCCTCCTCCTCCTCCTCCTCCTCTTCTCCTCGCCCGTTAACCATAGCCCATGTGTTAGCTTTTCCTTCTCCTCCTCCTCCTCCTTCTCCTCCTCCTCTCTTCCTCCTCCTCCTCCTCCTCCTCCTCCTCCTCCTCCTCTTCTCCTCGCCCTTTAGCCATAGCCCGGACAGATATATGTTCCACAACGGATGATTGAATTCGTATTTTAGCCCATGTGTTAGCTTTTCCTCCTCCTCCTCCTCCTCCTCCTCCTCCTCCTCTTCTCCTCGCCCGTTAGCCATAGCCCGGACGGATAGATGTTCCACGACGGATGATTGAATTCGTATGTTATTTTACTTATATTATAACCCGCACGTTGGGTAACGCAGATTGATGACGATGCTTCGATAGCAAAGCAAGCATACACGGAATAAGGCCTTTTTTTTTTTTTATGCGAGCGCGCGGGGGGGAATGCTACCTGACGTCGATCGCACAAAAAAGCGCGAAACACAACCTCACCTTGATCAGGAAAACCTCTTCAAAGCCAGAGTAGTAAACGTGAGGAGACGCCTTCAGACGGGCATCATCGAGACAGAGACACGTGGCGTCTTCTGGACGCATTCGCTGATATTTAGTCGGTCTCAACTTCCACCCCGCCCACCGGAATCGTCGATACCCACATGCAAGGCAGGCCACCAGGCAGGCGACGGTGAGCAGAGACAAAAATTATCCCCTATCTACCACCACCCCTCAAACTTACACCACTAGGGTAATCACATCAGTTAATCACACCGCACGTGCCCTTCGGCTGAAATGAAAAAGCGCCCGCAACAACCAGCAAAACTCCCGACGATGCAAGAGGAAAACACACACACACAGAGGAAGAAAGAGAGAGAGAGAGAGAGAGAGAGAGAGAGAGAGAGAGAGAGAGAGAGAGAGAGAGAGCGGCAAGGCACACACACAAGGAGGGACAAAGAGCGAGAGGAAAGGGCCGCACGCGTCAAGGGAGATAGAAAAAGACAAAGAGCGCACGTGCGCGCGCACGAGAGAGAGAGAGAGACACACACACACAAACACTGCTCAACAGGAGAAGGGCATTGTCTAACCTCCACAGGTCGCTCGCACCACGGAGAGAGAGAGAGAGAGAGAGAGAGAGAGAGAGAGAGAGAGAGAGAGAGAGAGAGAGAGAGAGAGAGAGAGAGAGAGA